TCTTTCATCACAGTTTTTAACACAAGAGAATCCTTTTTGTTTTGGCGCGAGAGCTTTATCAATGTTATCAAAATATTCAATCATATTTATCTCGAAATATCGCTTTCCTATCAGCTTGAATCCTGTGTCCTGAGAAGGAATTTTTATAATTATGTGCACTAAGCGTCAGATGAATCTTATCATGTCTGTTTTTTGTCTGAAAAATGTATATTTCAAACAAATATTGCATGTTAAAAGATAAATACTGTCAGATTTCTGTCTGAATTTGATTTACGATGTGCAGTGATATATATTTTTGAAGGGTTATTCCTCACAAACATAAATACAGAAGAAATGAAAACAAATAAAAGAATGGTATGCATGACTATCTAGAAATTACATGACTGTACACACACGCGCGCGCGCATTTGCTTAATGTACCTTTTATTTACCAGTATTTATTAGAATGTAGGTATTTTACTTCTATTATTAAATAATATAAACATTTACAGGGATAATGAATAAGTTACTAATAAAAAAATAAATACATCATAATGGTGTAATTTATATCCTTAGTTTTGTCTATTTATAATGTTTGTTTTCAGTGTGGGCAAGGAGAAGATGCGCTGTTTCGGGTCATTCTTGACAAGACTTTAGCTCCAATATGTCTGTAAATACATTAATCTTAAATGCATGTTTGACTGCATCCACTCAGTTTTCACCCAAATGAGTTGTGAAGACGAAGAGGTGATGCTAAAGGTTATTTTTAGACTTGTTTGTTGGATGTTAATCGGAAAACATCGACAAGCGATAAGATAAATATCAAAGATTGGCTGCTGGATACTTCATCGCAGACAAATTTGATTCAATTAGCAATTTGGGCTCTTTAAAATATGTTTTACTACAAAATACTCCGACTGCAATATTATTACATTCGTGAGTAAACATATCAGCGGCCGATCTCACACGGCTTTCCTCTTCTAGCTGGAAACACCAGCAGAATATCGGACAAAGAATGAGACACATACAGAGGACGGAAAATCTGTGACCTTGAATATTTCAAATACTTTTCTTAAGGTCACTGTTTATCTTTGTATATATGTTACATGAAAGGATTTTTTTCGGAGTCTGAAAATGAAATGTTTAAGAATTTTCTCGGAGAATTATATCCTCTTCCTTTACTCCCCACTAAAATATTAACAACAGTAAAAGAGAAACTGCAGCATTGTGCGACAGTACATTTATGCGCAGAGTGGTGAAAATCAGATTTGAATACTAAAATATGCAAAAGAACGTTTTGAAAAAATTTGAAATCATAAAATTTTACCAAATTGAAATATATAAAAACTTACGACTTTTCAACTCAATTTACAACCATTCCCAACAATAAATTAAAGTCATGGCATTTTGACATCATTGACAGCTGCTTTTTCAATAAAAATGGAACTGGTATTGAATTTAAAGTTACTTAACTTGACATTGGTCATTTACAACATTATTTTGATAAAAACATTCTGATTGTACACACAAGTACTCTGAAGTTGATATTAAAAAAAAAGATGCTCGAATTTCTGATTGACAACAATCAAATTTTACAATCACTGTTTAATTTTACATGGGTACCATTAATCAGTTGCGCCCATGTATAAGAAGACCAATCTTTATATTCATATGAAGCAAAACTTATTCAAATCTTATACATGAGGGGAAAAATACTTTGCTATGGCCTTCAACTCGACCTTTTACATGTTGATATATCGATGATGCATTTTCAATTAACAAATGAATACTCATTTACTTTCATATATTGATACGATTTATCCTAGAGAGCTTGAAATGAAAGATACCACAGAGTCTGACAAATCTGTTTCATATGTAGATATTTTACTACTAGAAAAAGATGCTAATGTAATGCCACAACGAAGCTTTATGATAAACGTGATGATTTTAACTTTTCAATCGTCAAATTCCCTTACTTAAGCAGCAATATACCTTTATCACCTGCATACGGGTTTTATATCTCTTAGCAAATTCGATACGCGAGAGAATGTTCACGTTTGAACAATTTAGAAAACAAGGTAAGTTAATGACGAAGTAGTTGATCAATCTTGAATATCAGCAGTCTCATTTAAAGTCATTATTTCGTATACAAGTTCTAATGGTCGATGCAATGACCTTGTCAGAAAATGCAATCTATTAATTAATAAGTCAAATGCTGACTGGTTTTTTTAAATACTTATTGTCAGGCCACTATTTACAAACTGAATTGTCTAAGGATTTTCCTGTTAATTTCTGATCATGACATGGAGCACGGCGGGGGTGACCGGTCTGCAGGGGATGATCAGTGACCATCACTCCTCCATGGCATCTGATCCCACATGGAATGTTTTAAAGGTTCGTTTTTTTCTCTACTGCTGATTTTTATTGTTTAAATAGAACTTATGAGCTTGATTATTATTTGTTATCTCCATATTTCATTAAATGGTAAACATTCATTTCGTATACGTTAGGTATCTTTCGTTTTTATGTAATATATGTAAACGTAAATATTCTTTCTTTATATACTACACTGTATCCTGTGTGCATGCGATAGAAATTCGTTGGATATGTGAATATTTTTAAAATCATTATACATGCCATATGCTAATATTTAATAATTCCGTATTCTATTGTAATAAGTGATAGTACTATAGTCAAGTATATCAAAGCTACCCACAGAAAAATTCACTGTTAGCAAGTTAGGTATACAGAGAGTCAGGACCCTGATTATTTTAAACTCCGTATATTTGGGGTGACTTTGTTATGTAGCCGTCTTTGATCATTTATTTAAGTTAGCAGTATTCAATCATTTAAAAAAGGAGAATTTTTATTCCAAGTTTAATATACATGTATCACTGTAGGGAAGGGGGGTTACCAATATTTTACAAGTGGGTTAGCAGACTGAGGTAAGTACAAGGCCAAAAATAAGATATGTCCGCAATGTTAATTATTTCGTTCAGGAGGATTAATCAATTGACTTATAATTTGACCTATTTCAGTTGAACTGTTTTTGCATTAGATCTCTCTAATAATTCAGCACACCTCTCTCCACGCCTGTTTGCTGTCGGAGAACAGGTGCGTGGTTATTTTAATATCTTCTGTAGCACTGGAAGACGTGCAGATTTTACAACTTGATGTCAAATCTGAAAACTGTGTGAATGTCATATCAGCTGGCTGATTTTATATAAAAGACCGAAAGATTATAAATCATTAATTGTTTGGGGTACCCCGGATGTCTTATTGACGGGCAAATACTATTGTTTGCTAAAAATTCATTTTCCCCCTTAATTTTCAGGAAATCTTCAAAATTAGGGTGTGATTTCAATTATATTTTCTACAATATTAAGAATTTAACTATTATATTTTGCAGTCTGTGCATGGTCCTTCACTGTATAAGAAGTAGTACAACTAACACATTTTGCTAGTCATTAAATTATTATTGGAGTCATTATTGATAAGAGAATTTAGCAAGCTCTTACCTCCAGTTGAGTTATTCCCACAGTAAGTGAGGTGATGAATTTAGCGGTAGTTAGTAAGTTACGCCAATCGTAGAGGGCTGGTCACGCCAATAGTAATAATTACATAGACAGGGGTCTGCTTTCATCAGCAACCAGTTTACGCTTTGTTCGCGTAAGCTTAAAACACAAACAAAAATATTCCATGTGAAAGCATGTGTCCTGTTCACGAATTAGAAACATATCAGAGTCTGAAAAAGACAAGTTGCCTATAATTCTGGCTTTTTTGCTGTGATGGACGGAGTTAACACGCGCTCCTTTGGTTGTGTTTGGCGGCAAATCAAAAAATAAATAAAAATAAGTGATTGGAAAACGAACACACTTCATGTACCGGACAGCTCTTTCTTCAAAAAGAATCTATCTTTGGAGAATTTCACCAATGATATTCTCAAAATAGAAAACTATCGCGAGAAAACACTCATCAGATTAAATCCACGGGATATAGAGGGAAAAGCTAATTTTGACCGTTTCTTGTGGATGAACTCATTAATTGAGGCATATCTATATCTGACCGATTTCTGGAAAGCTTCAGACCAGTATACTTTTATTCTGTTTTTATTTTTATATTTTTATTCTGTTTTTCTTATTCAGCATACCTCTAACTTTGAGAGAAAACTACGGTTTAATCTTACCTCCTCTTAATTATGTATAGCTTTGCTTTTGCATTTTTTTTATAATGTCACCTACCAAAATACAGTGCTTTACCAGTAACTGGTACTATAAATGTTTTGAAATATTAAACCATAATTGTTTTTATTTTTTTCAAAAATGCAATTCTATATATTGTCGTTTCTAGCATGCATGCAAGTAGAAATGTTTGACAAAGATTCCAGAGTCTGGCATTGATGGCGATGTAATAAAACGGATGTCATGCGAAAAGGGATGCAGTGAGTTTCTGTATATATCTTAATTAAAATGAACAATTGCGGGTTATTCCCAGAAAACATAAAATACATACATAATAGACAGATTATATCTTTGTTGATAAAGAGTACATAAAAATGCTGCGCGCTGTTTCTATTTTAAGACTTGTAGGAGGTTCATGTACAAGATAGAATAGCCTGGTTTGACAGGAAGTGCGGTGGTTGACGCGCATGACATCCGTAAACGAGTGAGTAACGCCATATCTATGTTTGTTCGTCTGTTCTTTTCCTTGTTTTTGTTGTTTGTAGAGTTCGTTACATGTTTACTACATCCATTACACATTTCTGTTGACAGTTACACTCTCTTGTGTAATCTTGTGTGCCTTTGGTGCACCTACTTTAGAAAATATACCCTATCATGTATTTAAACAATAACTGCACGTCTTAAGTTTTCTTATTTTTTTTTCTTAAGATAAATGTCATACATATTTACTATGTTACATGTTTGTTTGAACACACCATTTGAATGAACAAACCTCATCATAATATCCACGTATCCAAAAGTGCATAAAAAATTAAACACTGAACATGATTCTTTATATTTTATTCAGTTAGGTTTATAATAAATAGCAACAAATAAGCAAGTCAACAAAATAACAACATACGAATCGAATTGTTACATATTTACAGATACTTGTAAGTTTGTCAGCTAAAAAGTTTATTGTACACAGTTTTTCAATATACTCAGTTTGTATGTAATGGTATAACCATTCGAACACATTTGGATTTCGGCACTATTAAAGTTTATCACAATATGCGATTGACAATGTCAAGATGAACTTCTTACAGGGGAACCGTGGTTGACTGGTAGACTGGGACATGCGCGTGAGTGTAGTATCCACCAGAAGCCACGTACTCGACAGTCATGTCCTTCACTGGGTTGTGGTATCCGCCCTGTCCCCTGTAATAAAGAACAAATTATAGAATTTATCCTGAATAATGTGATTTAATATATGATACTTACTGAAAAAAAATACATTACAGTGTATTTATTTAGATTTTTCTTTCCATTCGAGCGTTCTATAACAAGTAAATAGTTGACGTTTTCCGACATTTTTTATTTTAAAAAAAAATCACATGACATCTTTCAAATAAAGGTGTATTTAAAATCGGACACGAGGTTCTACGTGTAAGTATTGTAAATGAATGGCGGAAAACAAAATGTTTCATTGCTGAAATGTATAGTACGAATCTTTAAATTATAGTGATATAAAAAGAGAGAGAATTAATGATGTTCAAGAAAACTAATTTTGAATTAAATCGCTTTCATATATTACTGGCATCGAAACCGAATGATTCTGGTTAAAGTTTTAAGTCAGATTACTTTATAAACAGCTCTTGGCTTAATAATCGAAAGCCAAACACGGTATAGTATGGGAATGTGTATCAATTGGATTTTTATTATGTCACAACTTGAAAATTGTCTGTGTTTTTAATAATATACGTCATGTACGCCCCTATGCTGAGAATTTTTACCGCAAGTTTTTTCAAAGACGTTCATAAAGCGTATATCGAAAATACACACATCCTATGTATATAAATCAAAGTTAGAGAGTTGTAAATAAGATGCGTTTAGCAGGTGTTGATGTATAATTGGTTCCCACATTCCCCCATTGTTATGAAGGATGATGCAAGTGATCCGTAAAATACAAGTTCTTAAAAAATAAGCTGCACAAAAACAATACCTAACCGTTACATATAGGCACGGACGACGACCGAGACTTACACTTAAAGCATATACACTGTATAGCACCCATAGCTTACATTTATGGCCTTACACTCTTTGTATACACATGAATATGATCTTATGAATTGCCATTCTTAAGAATTAAATATCATATCATCCTTTTAATACCATCACATGTTATCTCAGAAATAAAATAAATTATCAAATGTTGCTAATTAAACTTACGAGTAGGAGAATTCGGGAGGCACGTATCCGGTCATGAATGTGGAACAGCCCACCGGAGCCACCCTCGTGTTGTCGTCCCTGGGGCCCCCGGATATCTCGTTGATGGTGTCGATCTCGGTGTAAATGTGCTGGGACGGGGCGCGGGGCACTGATGTCGTCTCATAACTGAAATAACAAAAGCTTATTAATAATCGTACAAAAGTTTAAACTAAAGGTTACTCTCTGTTTGCTATTTTTTTCTTTCTTGTACAATGTACGTTTAATTTTTTAAGCAATACTACATGTGTTATAGCAGTTTTTTTACCTTGTGTGATGAAGGCTGTGTTCTGAGCTCAGGCCAGTCAGAGTAGAACGTGTATCTGGAAAAAATATTAAACTTAGAATATGTTTCTTATTCAGTAAATGGTGTTTAGATAATGATGATCATTGCTTATTGAGATCTACATGTAAAAGCCTGCATTGTTTGAATGCACTTAACAAATGCTACAATTTTTTTTTTTTAATATGAATGAAATGTTTTTTGTTTGTTTTTTTATTTCAAGTTGTAGAAGTCGGCAGCCTTGTTCATGACTATAGTGGTCAATTTACTCTGACTTACCGGTGATGTTTATTTTGCACGGTTGTTGCAGAGCGCCGCCTGGCGGTGGGGCTGTGAAGGGCTTCCTCTTTCCGTGCTGGCTTTCCTGACACTGAGCGGTGGCCCCCAGGATTCTCCTACGATAAGATCAATCATAAATAAATATCAAACATAGATAGTTAATTTAAAAAAATAAACCGAGGAATTAGTGTCTCTTCTTATCCATAACTTGATATGTCAATGCTTCATTTGATTTCAACATGTTCAAGATAGCAAAAAATCAAATATCCGGTCAGAAGCTGCTATCAGTTATAATCAAATAATTAATCTCGGAAGATATTACTTTATTTACAAGAAAAAAATTCTAATAAATAAGTTGTACATCAACTCATGTTATGCTTCAGAATTTAAGGACTTTTAAAAATGGTCAATACACTGGTAATGAGTTCATCGTCTAATTTACCTTTTGAAGATGACGAAAAAGATCATGGTGAGGATGGACATGACGGCTACCCCCAGGACGATCCCGGCTACCATGGCAACCTGTGATGTCTCCCGGATATCGACAAACGGTGCGCGACCTGGCGGTGTGGGTGAAATAGTGGTAGGTGGAATGTCTGGGGAGAAAAAAAGAAATAACGTTAATATACCAGCTTCATAAATTTTGTAGTCGGTACCTTTTGTTACTTTTTCTAATTATTTTCAAAACTCAATCATATAAGCTACATGTACATGAAACTCAACACCATTCTACCTTTGAAATTCTAGTGTTTTCTAAACCCTTGATGAATTACATGTGTTCTTTATCCATAAGTTAAGTTTTTTGTTATTTTTGATGATTGAGTAATACCTGGATAAGGGCATCCCCGTATGTCCACGCCGAAATCGGTGAAGATCTCTGTCTTGAACCAGGAAGCAGTATTATACAGGTCACGCGCAGTGCACTGGTCACCGAAGTCCGTTTGGATTTTCTTCTCAAAACACCTGAAGCCCTCTTCAAATAACCTAAAACCAAACTTGAGAATTAGCAACGTTTGAAATAGTAATCTGGTTATATATTGAGTTCAGATTAGGGGTGTTTTTCTTTCAATAATAACATATAAACTTTATCAGTGTACATGTACCAATACAGGCTCTCACAACATGGGTGGGAAAACACAAAATTTTTAACCAAAAATTGTTATAGAATGTTTTCAACAGTTCTGGGCAATGATATGTTTTCAATCTGTTAAAGTCTATAAAACAGATAAGGCGGTTGGCTTTCTTTTGAGTGTGAAACTACAATATAAAATCTGTTGACTCGGTCAGTTTGTCAGGACAACGTAAGCGATAAACAGCTGGAGAGTATTATTATACAAGCTTTAATTAATTGGTTATTCTAAGAAATACTCAAAGTAATTTGTGAGAACACAAATGGGTCTGTATGTCACAGTTTTACTTAAAGTTAATATGCATATGAGATCTATGACAATTTAAAGCATATGAATATAAATAAATGAAATTAAATATTTCTAAAAAATAAAAAAACCCACACATTTCTCTATATCTAGATGAATACCAATTTCTCAGTTAATTAAAAACTTACGTGCACTTCTTTTGGTCTTTCATCTCGCGCTGTTCTATCTTGGCAACATACGCCTCCTTCATGAAGTCTCCGAGACAGCGGTACAGCGTCTGTCCCACAAAGGACCTGTCCACACACGGGTTATCTGCTCCTAGAAAATAAATAAAATTGTTATCATACAGAAAACAAAACAGAAAGAGGGATAACTCTAAAATTTCAGACATACTAAAGAAATATTCATAATGAATAACTGCATTAAAAAAAAGGAAATTATGAATATACATGTAATGGATTTCGATGTAATTCTCTATAAATTAACATCCTTTTTTGTACAATTCAGTAAACATCCTGGTAAATAAGATTGTACCTGTGTAATGTGCATCGACTATTGTTTATCATTAACTTAAAGTATATGATAATATTTTTGAAGACTTTCATAGAGTTTTATTTGTGGAAGAGAAAAGCAATGTGCATAATCTTTCTTTTACATTTTAAATTAACAATAAAATATTAACAAATCAAATCAAATGTGCAAAAATAAGAATCATTGACACTCAAAGTAAAACAGTTACTACGGTTTTAGAAATAAATTGAATTTTTCATCAACAACTTTATTCTTTTTAAGGGGAAAATACCATGAATATCCTTCGTTGAAAACTGCAGCAAGCTTTCCGGAGAGAAAGTTTTAAATTTGTGTTCGTGGGGGAGAATTGATAAAAAATATTAATAATTAATCTTTTTTTTGGATGAGAGGTGTGTGACAAAAAAATAATTTATCCTACCAGAACCAGACATGATTCCAGATCCTTCAAATTCTGTAAAGTCTCCGAGTTCAATTTCACTGTCTACCTCGAGTTTCAGAAAGGTAGTGATAGGGTTGCTTCGGGGGAGCGAGGTTTTATCGGACATAGGGTTGACACTGGGTTGTAGCCCCTGTTTTTGACACGCTTTGTGGAGTAGGAGTACAAGTCCCTCTATCCAGATGTAATCGAGCAATTAACAACTGATTGTCCACAGCCCCGAGTGTCCGCTCATTATATACCCCGGCTACCTGTAGTAATTAACTCACTACCTAACCGTGTCAGGTCGTGAGAAAATACTTTCAATTTAAATTTAAATAATTAATGGCAAAAACTTAATGTAAGCTGCATTTTCAGGATGATTGGTTTGATTTTAATCTTTTAGAAATGTTTTATCTCTAAGTGCTCGAATTTACGGACACACTGACAGGTGTCATAATCGCCTAATTTGGATTAACATACCCACTGGTGCAACTTCGACGCTAATTGAAAAGAAAACAAACGGAAAGGAGATCTATTCTTTAAGTTTCTGGTTTTATCGTAACACCATCAATAGTTTACAGCACAGAAATCATAGAAACACTTTAGCTCAAAGGGTTTTCTCACATTCCGTGTATTTCTTTCATATTAAAAAATCCTCTCAAAAAGGATATGAAAACAATTCATACAAACGAAATCATGAAGTTCTTTATCTAAATATGTTTTATCACTATAAGCGCATTAAGCTCTTTAGGAATAAAAAGCCATTATGTTTATTGAAAATGAATACAAAAATTAACTGGAATATGTTAATTACTTGGAATTTCACATATTTATTTCTAAGCATTAAAAAGTTTCGGTTGTCTCGCTTTCCATGTATAGGAATATAGAATCCTTCTATATTTCCGAATTTAGAATCATTCTATATTTCCACCCAAATATGGGTTTTTACAACAGTTCATGAACTTAGAATACCGTTAGTTCAGTGCATTATCAAATATGCATCAATTAAATATAATTTAAATAATTATCTTGCAAACCGAGTCGTTAATGGTTAATTTTTTACAGCCATTACGAGAATGTTTGGCACAAATGACTCCGGCTCTAGGTGAGATAATATGGTCTTGTCAATTAATTACCCCCATCTAATTAGTATCACACAGAGTGAACGATTCTTTAATTAATAAAATTTTGTTGTATTATTAGCACTTTTGTTTGCTACACTTTTACATTGTTTATTTTTTGTACGAAAAGTACAATCAACTACAATGTAGAGTGTATTTTAATCGAAACGCCAATTTACATTATATCATTAAATTATTTTTATAACACGATGCTATTAAAAGAGAGGGGAACAAATAAAAGTTAGAAAATGCAATGATAAAATACAAGTATCGTTCGTTCTAATGAATATTTATGAATACACTCCAAACCTTTTAACCATGTCGCTTTTTTCTGTGCTCAGATGTTTTCTCATTTTTCGATAAATTTCTGTTTTAGTAATGAAACGTAACATTTTCTTACAAATATACATGCATAAATCAATGCAAAAAATAATCATCATCATTTTAAAAACGTTTGAGGATACAACGGATGTCTAAATTTTAAACAGCTACTGTAATACATCGATTTTTTTTTTAAACCTGCTTGCACAGTAGTACTCTCTCATAGGAAAAAAAACACGGCCTGGTTCATTTTTCTTTTCCAACACTTCTTTGGGAGAAAACTCTTGTAGTTCAAAATTAGACCTTTTATTCTTAAAGTTTGTTTGCCCTTTCCCGGTAGACTGGCCAAAGCAGCTCAATTTAAAACAAATCAGCAGTCGTTCAATTTTTGGGTGCGTTTATTTAAAAAAAAACAAAAACAAAAAAAACTCATCGTTTGCCGAATTTGGTAAATTCCAGTTGAAACAGCCAGCCTCATATAAAATTAAATGACATCTAATCTGTACGTGTACATCTAAAACAGAACATGTACCCGCGGCGAGTTTCTTACGAGTTAATAGATTTATCAAAAGAAGTATCTGTAATATACTTCCAATCAAATAATTTTAAAACCTTAATTGATACATGTAAAATCCAAATAAGTTGAGATATAAGTTTCAATTATTTATTATTAGTGAACAAAAAATATTGAAAATGTTTGCGTTTTCTGGGATAACCTCATACAGAAGAATAGTGAAGATCAGTTGTGATGACAGTCTACCAGTCCCATTCACTTTCGCTCGAGCAAAAAAATGTAATGCTATTCTTTAGGATTTTCTATAGACACTGCTCTTTGTAGTGAAATTGAACTGAATAACCCTCTGTAAACTTTAAGACAGAAAACAACTTTATGGTTTTCTGATAATTATGTATTAATCACACCACGATAAAAATGGGAGTATACATCAATATTTAAAATGAAATAAATTTCTTAGTAATTTGTTCTGAGAACGCAGGAAAATTAAACTCATTCTGAGTTCAGTACATCAAATGAAAGGCCAGACTATTGGTAGATTATTAACACATTACCTAACTGAAAACAAATGAGACACCTTGATGAGAGTTTCCCTTCACGAAGAAAAAAGGTCAAGGTTCAAGGTCGACATGTGTCTTATAAACGCTTTCATCTGAAAGGAAGATATATTCTGCAAATTTATTCCCTCCCTTAGGATTTTCACATGTGTAGCTAATAAAATCCATTCAGTTTTTATTTCATCTCGACTTACAATGTAATTATGTAGGATTTAGGAATCTCGAGTAAATAAATTTCAATGAAAGGAAAGGCGTGCGGTTTAACACTCTAAAATACCCAAGGTCGTTGTTAATACCGATAAATCAGAAACTTTAAGAACATCGCAGCTATGTCAAAGAAAGAAAGTATGAAGGCCTTAGAGTATTATATCTTAGAAAATTAAATATTCACTACAGTTATGAATATGTTTCATCCTAGAGAATTATCTATAGAAATATGCTTGTGGGGAAAATGGGGGGGGGGGGGGGTGCGGAGGTGGGGGTAACTAGCTAAACATTCAACCTCCCGACGGTGGCGACTGAAAGCTAGAGGTATCTACTTGTTTCTGTTTATAACATAAAGAAAATAAGCATTAAGTTGCATATACTAATATTCTGTATATTTTCTGAAAAGGTTGCGTTTGTTTTTATAATTTTAGTAAAATACACAAGTATTGTATATATAATATATTATACTACTTTTGCCGATAGAGGTTTTTGTATTTTAAATCATTCACAAGAATAGTTATTGAGAAACATCTTTATAATAGCATATTCTATAAAGTGCACATATTTTATAATACATGTTTATTACATATAATACATAAACCTCGACTTGCATGGGGTCTACCTTATCACAAAAATACGCATGCAGGTGTCCCTTTAAAGCACAATTTAAAAAAATGCTTTATGTATTGCAGCGAGGGGTGGGGGAGAGGAAGGAGAGAATTAGAGGAGAAAGAGAGAGGGGGAGAGGAAGGGGAGGATTAGAGAGAGAGAGAGAGAGAGAGAGGACATCACACGATTCACATCTAGCGTTACTTGATACAGTCAAGAATTATCAAATGATACATTTTCTTTACAAGAAAATTGGGATAATTATTTTGAAAGATTGATCACACACCAACCAAGCCGCAAATTATGATATCATAAAACAATTGCAAATTGCCTATTGTACGTCAAAATGATCTGCAAAGTTGCACGCTAATGAAAACTTTTTCTAAAAGCAATCGGAAACATCAGACTTTTCGAAATACCTATTTTAATTCTCAAAATGAATGATATTTTTGCTTGAATCATGAAAATCAAGTATTCAGTCCCACGTATTGTTGATCATCTAAATTACAAGTTTGTTTTATAACCCTCGTTTTTATTTTGACGTGTTTAGCATATACAAGTATATAGTAATACAAACTTCATATGTTGTAAATTCTTCAAAACGGGGAAATATAGATGGAATAAAGTCGGCGGTTTGCAAAAATGGCATTGATCTCCATGAAAACTTTATATACTTAAATTAAATAAGCATATAAATTCACTCACAATAACATGGAATTTATATTGTTTGTTTTAATGTTTTAGTACAAGATACTATGACATTTTTCTTTATAAAAAAAAAACGAAACCCTAAAGTAGGCAAAGCTAAACTGTCGCTGAGTTTAAAATGCAGCTATATTTTCTACTTTAACTTCGTTTTTTATATGCCAAGAAAACGGTCAATAAAATGTCTAATATTTCAGAAAAAACAGGAATAGCCTTGAGATGATACAAGTAATCATCAGAAAACTGAGAGGAGTGATAAATTAAACTGTTCGTAGACAAAAAAAACCTTGTTAAGCTTCAGTGCCAGATTCTTAGTAATAAAGTGACATGTGATTGTTACAGTAAATGCAGCACATTATGTATTTGTGGAAAGGCGGATGAACCTCCCCCAACCGCGGTTTGATTTTAAAAAAAATGTTTGTACTATCCTAAAATCAAGGGTAAACACCTCTATTGTTAAAATTTCCTCAGTTTACTGGAGACTTTGCCCCCCGGACCCCCACCAGGGTTTCAGGGTTTGCCCTGAACCTACTTTTGTATAAAATTACAGTTGATTCGATTGATACGCAAGAGTATGCTCTACGTATGAACAATTTCTAAAACGAGGTAAATTATTAACAAACAAGTTGATGAAACAAGAATTTCAGCTGTCTCGTTTAAAGTCATCATTTCGTATGTTCTATGGTCGATGCAATTGTTATTAGCAAATACAATTTATCATTGAGTCAAATGCTGACTGACGTTTTTCATGTTAATTGTTAGTCCATTATTTATACACTGAATTGAGGTCGGATTTTTCCGTCATTCCCGATCATGACAAGGTGCACACGGCGGGTGTAACCGGTCGGCAGGGGATGCTCACTCCTCCATGGCACCTGATCCAACCTCTGATGTTTCGGAGGTCCGTGTTTGCCTTGCTTCTATATTGTATTGTTTAAGGACTTTGATATTGAATACTGTTCGTTATCCCCATAGCCTTCATTACATTGTACATAAGAAAAAAAAATCATAATCGCATAACTAAGCACCAAAGAAAAATTATAAAACTATATAACGATTTCTTTTATTCAAATCGGTTAAAAAAAAAAAAAAAAAAAAAAACAACAAATAAAAACAAAACAAACAATCCAAGCATCAAATTTTCTTTTGTGTTATGTATCTTAAAAGCAAA